CTGTGGTTTTGTAATCCATTTGCTAAACTGTACAACTAGAATAGAAATGTTGTTGTCCTTCTGTTTAAAACAACAGACTAAATAAGGCCCAAATCAACCCACAAAATGGCCTAGCAAAGACTGTATGCAGACAGGCTGCATGTCCATTTTCTTCTTTAAAACTCAGGAAAGCAGCTCCTCTGGAGTTTTTTCTCCAAGTAGAGGGAATCCGATCCCACTGAGGTAGAGGCAGTCCTGCACATAAGCTGAGCCTCTGTGCACCGCAAGAAGGATGCCCTGGGAAGACAAAGGGCCCCACACTGTCCCTCACTGACCCAGTGCTGCAGGGGCAGACACTAACTGATACCCACAGGCTTTGGGTCACCCTCCTAATGTTCACAGGAAGAGGCTCTGAATGCCAGGAAGATGAATTCATTGCCATCCTCCTCCTCATCTGCCTTGTTCATCCCTCCTCCTCTGCATATGCTGACCAAATGCACAGACATGCTGCATTTCTTCAGCTTGATACCTCAGAGGGTCAGTCACATTTGACTTCCTCAAAAGCAAGTAAATAGGTTTTCTCATGCATCTATTTTGCTGTATTTCTCACACTGTGATGGGAGGATGCGTAGCAGCTGAGGAAGGCAGACTATAGCATTTTGGGCAGATCTTTCAGGAAGAGGTGACAGTTTACTGCTAAAATGAAGCAGAGGTATAGAGGCAGTGACACTTTTATGTTCATTTAGATGCAAGAGTGAAGTATTTCCAGGGGTCCAGTTTTAAAAGGATGGATTAGCCCTTTCTTCGTGGTGTACACAAAACGTAGGATCATGCATCTTATCTTGAAGAAATTTTCAATAAAGGTCTTTACAAACTGAAGCTGTAGCTTAGGGAACATAAAATTCATTCTGTAATTAATGAGTTCCCCCCAGTATTACAGAGAAAAAATTCCTATGGTTTTATTGCTTTTGCAAAATGCTTGTTCTCCAGCTCTGAAGGGACTTTGAAAGGTCAGAGGTGTTGAATATACATGATTTATAAAGTCCTCTGGGATGAGATGTGCCGTGTAAATATAAAATATTATTAGAGCATACTCTCTTTAATTCACATACACTGAAATGGAATTGGCTGTGCCACAAAAGCAAAACTAAGAACCCAAGTCAGACTGATGACAGCAGATTGTCCAAGGCTACTGACAGTCCAAACAGCAGAAGGATAAATTCATTTCACAGACATATTTACCTAATGCTGAAAGTTACTGCTATTCATCTGGAGCTGGTTAAATGTAGATATGAATGTGAAGACTGTGTTACATAGAAATGACTGAACAGGCAAAGATGGTGGACTGCTCTGTCCCATGATAAAAGAGGGGCTTCTGAAAAAGCTGCAGGCACAGGAGCAGCCCATGTAGCCCATCCACCTTCTGCAGAAACTCTACCTTACACAAGTCTGTTCTCAAGTGTATGCCAGAGATGCCTGGGATGCCGTGGTCCTCATGTGCTTTGTAAAGTCACACTCAGATGGCACTTCCAGCCTCAAAATATGCATCCTATTTACCCCTGGCTTTGACAGAGGCTTCCAAGTTTCCCTTGCAGATTTGAACCTTGAGATTTGTACACCTCCAGCCGTAGCTATCCAAAGAGGCTTCCCAAAAAACAGTTCCTCAGAGAACTGGGTTGGAATGAGCTGAACTGGACAAGCAGTCCCATTCCCTCTCAGGGAAGCATAAATTATACTTTCAACCCACTTTTTGGGATTGATTCCAATTTCTTTTTTTCTTCTGTCCACAATAGTCTACACTTTAACACTGCAATAAATAATCAGTTTGAAGTAGATTTCAAAATATTTTAACAGCTGGAGCAATGACATTCTTACTCGACTTTACTGTAAATGGAAAAACTCCCATTCCCCCCCCTCAAAGACAGAGATTGCAGATCATATTCTGAATTCTTTTCAAAACCTTGGCCAAAAGATATCACCAGCACAGTCTGTTCCTCTTCACATTATTATTCCCACTCTCACAGATTCTTTTATCTAACTCCCTTCTGCCCCGAAGTTTACAATCTCCTTCCAAAAATTTTTCAACTACACTTCCCTTCTCTTGAATTCCCTCCCTCTCATCAGCTTTCAAATAATATGACTTTATTTTAGAAAAATGATGCTATGAATTCAGCCCTACAGAGCAATCTGTTCCTACCATTTTTCTTGTGCTAAAACACAGCGCCTAATTTTAAATCTTTTTTTCTTTTTTTTTTTTTTTTTTTTTTTAAGGAAAAAGAAAAATGATGCTATGAATTCAGCCCTACAGAGCAATCTGTTCCTATCATTTTTCCTGTGCTAAAACACAGCACCTAATTTTAAATATTTTTTTCTTTCTTTTTTTTTTTTTTTTTTTTTTTAAGGCACAATACAGCCCTTTAGCAAAAGGGCTGCTATATTCCTGCCCATAAAGGAAGAAAATGAAGTTCTTACTTTTGACTGTATTAATGCTTTCCCACAGAAACTGATACATCTGTCTGGGAGATAAAGGAGATTTGGATTATCTGTATTCAAGAGAATAATTAAAAGAAGTTATTGCACAAAATGATTAGATTTTCTAGCAACACAGGTTTAATTCTGTGATAAAGTTATTCTCATCTATGCAGAACACTTTTCATCCACACAAGAGGGGCTCTAAATTTCCTCTGTACTTAAAAAAAAAAGGCCATTGTATTTTCACTGATGACGTTTAATATTTGATTTCTTCTATTTTCTTTAGATAATTAAATAGATAGATTTGCTCATTTGGCTATAGCTAAATTGCTATAGTAGTGGTAGACAATGACATTTTTAAGGCTACATTATACATGATTAATCTTTGCTCCAGCTGAGAGCATTTATTGTCTAGGGCTACCCTTCCTGTTTGTCTTTTCCTTGTGTTTTCAGTTCTCCTTTCCCATCAAGGAGAACAACAAAAATCGTTATGGGTTTTTAACCTAGGGAATGACATTTTTAGCTCTGAGGCCTATGTGTAAATGTAAATTTCCAGCTGTTATAACAAAGAAATAGCAAATGTGAGGCAGACGTTAATATATTACCGACTGTTGATAATACAAGCAAAAATCAACCTTGAAAAATCCCCAGCTATTCCAGTAATGAAAGCTTACTCACTGGGGCATTTACATGAACCTGTGCCTTCAGAAATAAGATCCAACTAGTTTCTTGCAATCCAAGGAGTCTAGACAAATCCTCTGTGTTGCTTCTTCCTCTTCTGACATTAACAATTCAAGGGCTAGAACATACAGCCAACAAAATCATCTCCAGATGTTTCTTCTGCTTAGCCATCTGATGCATGCCCAAAGACCACTTACTGCACAATGAAGTCAAGTGGAATCTGGGAGGATTCCAGACTTTGTAATATGCATGCAGGCTTGTGAATTGCCTAGCATGAAAGCCTGTCTTTTAGGACCCAAGATCATGCTGTTTTTCAGGACCAATTTCAGTACCAAAAGTTAAACCAGGTGTTTGGTTTCTATCAAGCACTACTTGAACATAAGTCTTCACACACTTATGAAGCCAGTTCAGGCAGAACTGATGAGCAACCACTCTGAGCTCCCTAAGAACTCTGCTGTCCTTTGAATCCACTGGCTGAAAAGTCACAGCCCGGCTGTGAATGCAATAAGGTGCTTCTTACTGAATCGAGTATATTTGTTGCTTCTACCATCTTCTAACCCTTGAAAACGTCTGAATTTACTGTCCTGGCATGGTGAACACAAGTCATAGTCAGTGGCATGGAGTAGCATGGACATTCAGAGCATACTAACAAGTTTAGGTTTCCCTCCAGCGAGTCTCCAGCCTTTGTTTAGCCCTCACCATAGCACATCTCTCATCATCTTATCTCCCGCATCTCCCATCATCCTCCCCACAGACCTCGGATCCCCATGAATCCTGAAAAGTCCTTCATTCTAGCATTAATACAGCAGCAACTTCCTAATGCCTTGTGTCAGGCACATTTGTGTTTGTAATTCCTTTCACACTAGGCAATTCATTAAGGGCTCTGTTTTGATTACCAAAATGTGTGAACACAATTTTGTATCTCATCTATACAGGGTCACTCTTATGTCAGCTCGTTTCTGACTGTGACAGTCTTTTCCCATCCTAAAGGCAAAACAGTGTTTACATTTGGTTAGCTAAAATATTTACATTACACATTCAAATGATGCATTTTCCCAGTGACAGGGCTCTCCCTGGCATTTCCTCCTGTACCTACTATGCAGCGGAAATGATTAAGATGAATATTCTGGGTGTCTCTAAACAAGCAGATTAAGGAAATATGCAGCACAGCTGTACTATACTAACACTGCTAGACTTTGTAATATGCATGCAGGCTTGTGAATTGCCTAGCATGAAAGCCTGTCTTTTAGGACCCCAGATCAGAAGAGTTCCACATTTCCTTATCAATTTATTTCAAACAGATTTTTCATTTATTGACAAATTATTTGGTGACTCAGTGCATGAGGCCCTGGGAGAGGAGGTGAGAATGGTGCTGCTCACTGATCATCAGTCTGCCTGCGGATAAAAGCCTCGAGTGCACCTCGAGTGTCTGCAGGGGAACAGAGATGATGGGGACTGCTGCCCAGACAGATGAGTGTAAAAGGAAAAGTGACACTAAAGCTGGCAGGGGAATGCCACGAAATGACAATATTTCTAGGAATCAGAAAACACACTGCACACTCCTGTTTTAATGTAACATTACCAAGTTGGATAAAACACTGTGAATGACGCTGCACCAAGAGGTCCTCCAGACAGACACACAGCATGAGCCTCTCCCCAAAGGGACAGTTTGAGGCTTGTAGCAGAGAAACTGAATTTCAACATAATTTAAGACATATCATCATCAACAGTCAGTCTTACTCATTTACTTGTTACTACCAAGTCTCTCTGAGAAGAAATTAAATATAGTGCAGCAACTTCTCACACAGAAACTCTGTAGCAATGCAAAATTAGGAACTTAAAGAATCCATCAAAGATGTATCCCTTACCTTATAACATCATCCACACAGGTCTTCATACAGGCTCTCCCAGTGAGGAAGCAAAAGCTTCTGGGCTGAAAAACCAATGGAACACTGGTTAAGACATTATCTCAAAACCCCTGCCTCTGCTTATATCCATCCCAAACTCTGCTGCATCTTTTTGTTTACAGAAACATATACAATAGCTTACGAAGCTTTTGCTTATTTTAAATTGACCCTGCCCACTTAGTGTCATATACTCTGAAGGAAATGGTTTATAAAAGCCTCTGTATAAGTGAGGCATGCAATATCTAGCAAACAAATATTATTTTGTGGAATTATTTTGCGTGGGATGTGTATTTACTCCACTTTTTTAAACTAACAGCAAATGAAACTTTGCTAGTTAAAACCAATGAGTAGAAGAAAAGTAACAGGCTCTACACCAGTATAAGGCAGTGTATTCAAAATAATAAACAACCAATTTTGATTTAACCTAAAAGCCTGCATGGAGGAAGTGAGCAGGCTCATTACCTGCCTGTCTGGTGCCCAACCAGCCCCACCACCAAACAGCCTGAGGGGTGTGCAGGGATAAGTGGGCAGGACACTCCTGCCAGAAATCCCTGGGCTGAGGGGGCCAGGATAAACACAGATTCTGCATTTTGAACCAGCAGCTAGCAGCCTCACAGTTTTAATTCAGCTCTTTGAAACCTGATTTCCTTTGGGCATCCTCGGGAATACAGAGTTTGCAGCTCCCAGCCTTTGGCAGGCCAGCTCACAAAGCCCTGCCGTTTTTGGCAGAGGAACGTCTGGGATGATGGGCAGCGGCTGCCGCTGTCACTAGCAGGATGTTTTCTGGAGTTTCTCCTACAAGGCAATGTGTTTATTCTTTGAAACAGTTGCTCCCTAAAGATTAAAACTGAGCAGAAGCACAAAAGCAGCGTGTGTCCTCTGGGGCTGCTGTGTGCCACCAGGCAAACAGGAGGTACAAGCTGTGTTCTCCCAAATTACACGGAACAAACGGTGCTGCACTGGCAGAACCGAGTCAAGTTCTTCAGTACACAAACCACACTCTCCTCATTTTAACCTCTTCTTAGGGAAAAAACCTTTCAAACATCACTTGTGTTATTAACAGCTCCAGATTTAGAGTTGGGGGGGGTGGGTCTTCAATGCAGCTGAGCCCATTCACCCCAAAAGCATGTCAGCCTGGGCACAAAAAATAAGCAACAGCCACAAGGTTTGTGCTTTTAAGACCGTATTTGTTATCATTGCCAAATAGCAGTACACACTCTCAAAAACAGACTTAACAACCACAAAGGACAGACAGCAATATGAACAACAAACACTAGGACAAAATCTATCTTTACTTAGAAACTAAAAAAAATAGTCATTTAAAACCCACTAAAATAGGATTGAAGTACTAAGAGCACATGAGAAATATTGGCACAACAAAGAAAAATCTGTTTGGCACTGTTTGTGTAATTATAGTTATTGCAAGGTGGCTGGAAAAATAAATGCAACAATGATTTTTCTTTCTGCTGAGGTATGTACAACAAATGTTAATTTTTTTACCACTGCACAGGATGCATTGTACTCCAGGGATTACCTTGAGGGGTGAGGAACTGTCTCTGGTAAGAAGAAGTATTTACCTTGCCTATATATCAATGTATTTTTTATTAGGAGAATTAATTTAATATTGCATATAAATAGTAACTTTTGGCTTAAAAAGTAAGATGGAGAAGGAAACACAATAGACTTTTCTTCCTCTGATGGGAACACATACAGATTTTCTTATTACTGGTAACACAAACTAAGCCCACATAAAGGGGAACAGCCGAACTTCAATAACCCTCAGCACGATGCCCCCATGAAGCTTTATTCTCCTGCGGAGTACAGAGGACTTCGTAACTTTCCTCCCTGTTTTATCACTCGTATTTTAATAAACAACCAAACAGCAGCAATGGCCACTAACTTATGCTACTCTAAAGATAAAAATTTTACCTTTGATTAACAAGAACTCCTCATCCTAGACCCCCTTTGCATTGTGCAGAAGACGCCGGGAGAAGCTGTTTGAGCAGCGCTCTGGAACTCCCTGCGGGCATCAATGCAGCTCCCGGAGCTCCCCAGGCCTGTCCCCGCTCACCGATTCCGTATGCAGGGCGCAGATCCCACCTTCCCCGGCTGCCAAGGGGCACAGCCTGCGAACAATGCCGCCTCTGTCAGCCCGCCCGGCCAGCGGTGCCACAAAGGCACGCTCATCCGCTGCCACGGACCTCTCTTTGCTTCTTCTTCTTCTTGGAGCACAGGGCGATGAGAAGGAATGGAGAGAAATGCTGATGTGTTTATGATTAGCCAAAGCTCCGCTGTGTCCAGGAGCGAGACAGTGTCAGGGCACGACGAGCACCCGGGTGCTTAGAGAGGAGATGGAATCTGCGCCGCCAAGAGCACTCCCTGCCTCGCTTCACACATTTTTGTTTCGGATCCGTGGGTGGTTGCATGAGCAAGCAGCCAGAATAGGGGAGGAGTTAGACAAAAATGCAATTTAGGACTTGGAAGCCTTGTCTGCCTTTTCGAGAGGAGGACGAAGAGGCGAAATTGCATCGCCCTGACAGAGCCACGCGCCCTTCCCAGCCCGGCTGCTGCCACCTGCCTCCCCAAACTTGCCGGGAAAGCGCCTCTCCTGCCTGGGCGCGATCCCCGGGACAGCACAGGCACAGCAGCTGCTCTCGAGCCCCGGTAACCACACTCCAGAGCCTCTGAGCACGCTGGCTGTTCGCTCCTGCCCCACAACATTACCAGTTTAATTTTCAAGGAGGCACGATGCTTCGTGATCCTCATGAGCAGCTAGAGGATGAGACAATAAATGACATCCTCAGCAGATGTTTACAGCTGTCACTAGGCAGAGGAGGAGACAGCAGCAGCTTAAATCTCAGTTTTCTACAAAGCTTTCCTTGGAAATCAGAGAGGCAAAGCCAAAAACCCTTTTAAAATCAGATGTCCACAGTTTTCTTGTTTTGAAAGGACTATCATGTGCATATAGTTCATGCAACTTCAGCTTTGTTTTCCTTCCTATGAGAAAATGAGAAGCAATGTCTGGCTCGAGATAAGACAGTGATGATTCTTGCTGAAACCAATTAGAATATTACAGTTTAACTCGAATATTCACAAGCCAAGCTCTATGATAGATGTGAGATGTTTCACGCTCCTCCACATTAATTGTAGTTTGGATCTAAAAACATTGCAAGTGAATAAAGCAGCAAGCAACACTGTGTTTTCTTCTTGAAGTAAATACCAAGAGACACACAGCCCTTGGGTGCAGCACAGCTACAGCTATGAACTCATGCAGTCCCTGATGAACCACCCTTACAGTATTTTCCCATGCAATTAGTATTAATTGGTGACTTGCTGGCAATCTCCCAGGGGCCCTATCTCACCCTTTTAGCCAGTCCTACAAGACCAGCCTTGAGATGATCATCAGGGCTAGGCAGCCATCCTGCTGCCCCACCTCTCAGGCCTCTTTCTTGCTCTTGTGTTTTTGGGGACTCTGGCAAGGGTTATCTTGAGTAATGAACAATCAAAGATAAGCCTCCTCCAAATTAATACATTCGAGTTTGTAACATGAGACAGCAAAGTAAGAGGGTGAGTTCTAGAGGGAATTTATAAGCACTTTAAAAAAATATGTTCTTTCAAAGCATTTCACTGAAGCTAAACTCCAAAACAGTTTTCAGGAGAACTGAACAGCAGTGCTCAGTTCAGTGTCTGGATAGAAACAGACCTGTAAAACTCTGCATCCTGCACTCAAAATTAAGCTGATACAGGACAGCTGTGAATGAGCAATCATCTCTTCTAATTTTATAATTTAATTATTTAATAACAATTCTTAAGGATTTCCTTTTATCTATTAATAGGATGAAATTTGTCTTAAGCATCTTGTCAAATGGACTTAAGAAGGTTCAAGAGTGCTTTACTTCAGCAGAGCCCCACAACTCCATGGCAATAAATAAAATCAGATGTTCTTTGAACATTGTAAACATCTAGAATATATTTCAGAGTAGCTTCCAGGGGCATTTTCACAGTATGAATCTCTTTTTGTACAATTGTGTAAGTAATCTCAAAACTTTAATAACCGGTGCTGAGGTGGTTATTCAGAGTCAAAAGGATGTCTAAAAAGAGAACTGTGCAGGGGTCAGCCTACAAAAACCATTCAAGATCTAGTAAAGGATGCAGCATCTAATGGTAAAATACAGTAGGAAATGCTTGTGGCCAGAGGCAAGCAGAACTACTTCAACTAAAACAGGCCTAGTGTAACCAAGAGCAACAGTACAGCTTTATGCCTTGTCCTTCTTCTGCTTCTCCTTTTTCTGCTTCTCCTAAGTTTCCAGTCCACATAAATCAGTGGTTCTCAGTGTTACACTTCTCATATCACTTTTGTCTTTTACTGCACAACACTTAGAAACCACAACATTACATAAACAGGTGCTTAAAAATGGTGTATTTTGGCTCAGAGGTAGTTAAGAACACTAAAGATGGTTATTTCTCTTGGAAATCTTGAGTCTGGAGTGGAGGAGCCTGCCTGTGCCATCTCACTTAATCTCTAACAAGTTGTACCTTTAGATTTAATGTACTTAGTGTACATGAACTCCAATGTGAAAGTCAAAACTCAATCTTTACACTGGTCAACAGATGTTGAGAGATTTATCACTTACATGTAAGTTGTTTATATGACATAGTTTATTTTTTATATGACATAGTTGATTTTTTTCCTTTGGAGATACTTCTCTTTCTAAATCTTTGTGATCCTTTGTGATCCTACTTAATTTTCATTTTTTAAAGACCTTACTGTCTTTTCCCCCCACATCTATAGCAAGTAAAGATCCAGATATTATTTGCCAGGGCCCCATGAAAAAATGAATACTTTCAGACTATTCTCACAAGTATTGTAGAAGTACAGAAGACCTCACTTTAACTGGTGTAATTTCCCTGCAATTCCATTAACTTGCAGTATCTTTGGATATACACCATCAATCTGAGACAGCCCTCACCTCACCTCCATCTCACACCTGTTGCCCTCTCAAGGTGTATAAAACCACAAGGATATTACTCAGGGCAGCCTAGGTGGAAGGAGATTTCTGTCATTCAATGGAGGGACAGATTAGGAAGCACAGAATAAAAGTTTCTGAGAAGAACTTCTCCATAAAATCATGCAAGAGGAAGGAGCACTGCACACGTGCTCTGGCAGGGACAGGAAGGTGCTATATGTGTCTTTGGAGAAGTAGAAAAACTCTGAGATTTCTTAGTATGATGCTATTCTGAAAAATCTGGTTTGCTTACAGGATTTTAAAACACACACATGTTCTGACTGCCACTTTGCATCTACAACTAAGAGAAAGAGGGACTCAACATTCAGTTTTCTGAAAACACAGGGCCAAGAGATTCTTTCTCTAAAGACTTATGCCAAGACTTAGTCACTGCCACTCTAATACCCTGATAGCAAATTCAATCTTTACAAATACAAAGCAAACATCTTTAAACAAATTATGAACATCTCTGGCCATACAGATAGGACTAACACTTGTAAATTACTTCTCTAAATAGGTGTTATATCAAATCTCCAAAGAGTCCAGATAGATGTGTTCAGCCTGCATTAGGTGATAATGAAGTCTGAACCCGAGAGATCTTAGTTAAATTTGGATTAGCTGTTGATGAAAACCAACTTGATAACACTGCTTATTCTAGACTTGCCTCAATTACAGTTTTCCCAGTCAAACTTGTCACAGCTATTCCTTCTTTCCAAGAGCATTACTTTTGTGACAGTTTTATTTGTAGTGTTTCGTGGCATTGGTACCTGCACCTCATCAGGTCCTTCTACTTGCCTGGAACAAAACCTGGATCATACCAGATCCTCTCCATCTATGGGAGACCAAACACAAAATTACACTTAATCCAGCATCACCTCTGCCTCTGGCTGGGAGCCTGGCAGAGCTGGGAAGTGCAAATCTCCTACACATGCTGAAGACAAATACACAGCACACTGCCCCCACTGCTAAAAGGTCTGTATTTCATTTTGAGCTATTGATCAAACTGAATTATTTTACTTGGGCAAAGATCATTTGGGTCTACAGTCTGTTCTCTGTTAAAAGCTCCTTAACTCTTGACTAACTCAGGTCACGTGGATTCTTAGCTTGGCATAACTTGCATGTGGCCAAAGCCCCTTCTCAGAGCTGTCAAGACAAAGCCTTACAAAGATCTGACATCAACCAATACAATAATGTCTAATATTCTGTACTAAAAGAATGCATATAATTTTCTTAAATAATTTTTCTTATGGAAGCTGGTTTGCAACATTACAGTACTTACGAGCTACTACACATCCAGTAAAGTATTTAAGAATAACTGATGTAATTTACAAATTTATTTCTCATCTATCTGATAAGCACTGATACTGGAACTGAAACTTTCACCTCATCTGAGGTGAAAGCATTTAATCATGGCTCTTTGGTTTCCATTTGTAGTAACCAGAATTTCCAACGGTTTTTTCACCCATGTACTCAGTAGATTTGGGCTTGCTTCCCTCAGACAAGACCAAATGTATTCAATCCGTTACAGTCAAGAGTAAATTCTTACATATGGCTTCCTAATGTTACTCACTGGGACATAGAGGCTACAAATGTGCTTCCTTCAACTTCAGCTGTCTTTTATTCTCCCCTGCAGCTTGCTCGTTTTTGTTAAAAATGAAGAAAGGAATTAAATTACTAAGTTTTCATTTTCCACTCTTCCTAATTTTCAAATTTATGCCATTTATAAGACCCAACTGTTCTATGACAAGAGTTTTTTAACCCATTTAACAGGACCAAAATCTTGAAGGAACAGAGACGTTTTTGTTTGTTTAATCCTCTCCTGCATCCACCCACTCTTCCTATTTTCCACTCCTTAATTAAATTTCAGATCAAAGATCTTTCTGACTCAAGACATCCAAATGATTTCAGATTTGGCTAAAAAATGGTGCAAATCCATTATCCTATATTGTCATATGTAACCAGGAAACCAGGAGAAAATCTCATTAATTATTTGAATATATGGACAAGATGAGATTATCTAAATCAAATTGCGAAGTCAAATGCACAAGGGAATATATATATATATATATTTAATGTAAAATATTATTAGAGTACCCTCAAAGTAATTGTTCAGACTATAAGATACTAGTGGGCAGAGCTTCTGGAAATGGAAGTGACACCACTCTAATCAGGAAAACAGCCACAAGAAGAAATTTATCTATTTACGAGGGTTTCACTTTGAGATTACAAGTGCAAGAGACAAAAATGTCACCCTCCTGTCACTTGTTGACAGGCTGTGATACAGAGAAGCTTTGTCACTACTTCATCACCATCCATGACT